CTCCATTGTAGATGCATTATGGGTCCAAGAAGTAATGAAATGCACATGAAATCCTCAATGACTTAGGTCGTGAAGTCCCACATGGAAAGTGCAACACATACTCTCATGACGTTGCTTCGCCTCTGAACTCATCTCTCAATTTTGTATTTACTTTTGCTGAGGAAGTTTCATGGGAATAATGCCTGTATGGCCCGATTGATTAAGCCCTTTTTATCTTCAATTAGTGAACTAATTTATAGTAAAAAATGCGCAAATTCGTAACGCTGTGAGTTCTGACCAATTTTATATGCCATGAACAGGCCCCATATCCCTGCTGTCAGGCATTCAATGAAGTCCTGGAGGTCTGTAGTGAAGGTACAAGATGTCGACCATTAATTATAGGGCTGCGCCTTGATAAGTCCTTATAGGGTGGTATGTGATTATCACCGTGGGAAAATAAATAGTGCAGTCGTGGCAATACTTTATTAATTGGAGGAAGAGTCTCATGGCGGAATGATTGCTAATCCCTCATCGCACTTAAAATGGACAGCACAGACCACAATTAGGCCTATTACAGCAGCCGCAACAAAATCTACATGAAATGCCGGCCTTACACTGGTTGCATTTACATGTTTGGCGGCCTATTTCACCGACGCAATCTCCCGTTTCACAATTCCGACTCTTGCATGAGGCAATGCAGACTGCACTCCCGTCGTCACAGATGGCAGCACCGGCGCTTTCCCACGGGGCAGCAATTATCAGCATCGTCGCCAAAGTCGTCGTAACCATCTGTGTGCTTCCCATGTTCTCAAGAGCCATATACCCAACATAATTGCAATGTTTCATGCAGTTTTATAGAGCATTCTTAGGACAACTGCGAACTTTCATCCATGATATGATAGAGATAATAAAAGTTTTCTGTTAAAAAAGTCATATTACTGTTATTGACGATCTCATTGACAACACGACCTTTCAGAATGAAAGTAATCGGGCAAAAAATTACATTGCCATCATTTTGCTTTTCTCAAAACTTCCATCACATCAGCCATTGACCAAGTTTTCCTCAAGTAAGAGTTAGGAAAGCAGAATGCCTACCCAGCAAGGGTTCAAAGATTCAGGTATCCCTTAACATGCATTGATGACAATGAATGATGACACGCACCTCGTGTCATGAATTAACGATTTGAAGAGAGAGGGACTAACCTGAAGATGCCAGGAAAACTGGACACCAGAAATATCGAGTAAATTATAAATACTTGAAATATATTTATAAATTCAATGTCGAGGGGGTACCACCTAGAAAGACCGACCCATGGCCCCATTAAACTGAACCCAAAAAGAAGAAATAGAGAGAGAATGCAAACCTGTCCTGAATTTCGAGTCTTGGAATGGGCCAGCGAGTGAAGTTAGAGGAGAGCGATGTTCAGCTCGGTGAGGCAGCAGCGGATCTGAAGGGATGGGTGTCCGGGTCGAGGCCTTATATAGTGCGGAGCGGCCTTGAACCGTTGGCATTTCCTCTCCCCGCCTGGCCTCATCGCTTTCCTCGTTCCCATCCCCCGTAATTATTCGTGTTTTTCTGTTTGTGCGGATTTCCTCGATGATGCGTAGAATGTGCGGATCTGGTGAGGCCTGACTAACCGTCGATTATACGGAGTGGCCAAAAAGCTGCTTCAGGAATTTAATAAAGGCTTCTCTTTTGCCTCTTTGCGGTCATTGTCATCTATCGGCGTGTGAAACTAAAAATACGAGCCCATGAATAATGATAAAAGATCATATCATAGAAGCACAAGTGTGATGCTTCTTTCATCGGCATGTTTGCCATGAGGACTTCCTCCAACCAGAAAAGTCTCGTCTCTCACATCGTTATAAACAAAATAAAATTGTTATACATAGTTGATTAATTAAGTTTTGTGTGTATATTCGAGCAAATGCCAGATGGAAGGGCTGCAGCTCAATTGTTTCATTATCCGTTCTGTTACCTATGACTCTTGACCACACGCATCGATTGGATATAGCCCATGACATTTCCAATTTCTTAGTATTTTCAAGTTCTCTCCAATGACACGCATGTCATCAGAAGCCGCGATTGGCAAAATGTATCCCCCATTGTAACTTAAGGGTCCATCGCGAGCGAATATAAGGAAAACGGTACGTCGGAGCTAGTTTTTCTTACATGAGAAGGATATATTGTAGGATGCCAAGTAATTCGTGTGAAAATTTCCAGCCCTCTATATTTAATGGTTTGTATGTAAGAGTGATTGCAATTTTATGTGGTCGTCGAAATGTATCTATTTATTTATGGTAAACTATTGTGATCTGGTTGAAACCCTTTGAATATTCATCAATTCATAATGGCAGGAAATCGTGGATTCATCAAAGCTTCATCACACTGTTCGACGAAAAAACGCTGATTCGTGCAGCTCCGAGGGTGTGTGATGCTCTCGACACCAGATTGAAAGTTATCGCCGGGGTCTCCAGCTGGCCCTTTAACGGAGGATGCGTCTGCCAGGCGCCACATTCCATGCGTTCCACCAAATGCCGGCCGACCGTCGCCGGGTGAAACTGGACATCCCCAAGGTGCGACAACAAATGTCGGGTGCGTCAAATGATAATGAAAAGGGTGGCTGAGCATCGCCTGTGTGACAGGAAGTAATGTTTCACAAGTGTCGACCACTGTCACAGGAGTAGGGCATTACATGGACTGAAGAATTGATCTCATCCAAGAAGGTAATTGCGTATTGGATGAATCCTGAGTAAGAAAGTTCGTTCCTCCCTTTTCTTGGGGATAACCTATTCACGACCTTGATGGTTTCATGGGAACGAATAATTGGAAATGTTTTTGACAGCACTGAAATGTCGGATATTTAAGCAGGCAGTAGAACGTTGTAAAGGATATTCATGAAACGATGGCCATTCCTTAAATGAAACGTTTTTTGAACAAGCATTAAACGTTTGAGTGCTACGTGGGTGGAAGCGACTGAATACCATGGTGACTCCTTCCACAACAATAGATCACCAGGTTTCTTCTGGTTTGCAGCAGGTTTACCTGCCACTTGTTGACGATAAGTATTATTCATAATTGGTCTATGCAATTCGAGTCGAAGCTTCCAATTTCCAATTTAAGGAAATCTGTGAAAAAGTGAGCTTCACCTGGTGAAGAGACAGAAATTGTCTGGAAATAAGGAAATGGTAGAAGTGGTTTTACCATATAAATCCATCATATATTTCCTTGGCATTGATACATATCCTAATGCGATACATGCATGCGATACATCTACATAAAAGCGTAAACTTTTACTCATAAGCCAAAGTGCAATGGAGGGTCAATAGGCAAGTGGATCTTCACTTACACTTTGCACAAGAGAGTCTCTGACATAAATTTCAGATTCAATGACAGTAGCAATCCCCATATAATTTTGGACTTCGATACGAGAGAATGGAATGAAAGAAATTTATTCGCTCAGTAGAATAGGAACATATTTTCCTCTCACAAAAATAGATTCGCATAAAGAGTCCCCAGGGATTTCGTAGGATTTTCCTTGATAAATTGGATTGACAATTCAGATGTCTGCCCAACTAGGCGCATTGATTGGTTGTGAGAGTGAATCATGTTCTAATCGTCCCATCAATCTTCAATGTAACATTGCATCCGAAAATTAAATCGTCTGCCTGTTCCTCCAGAATTGACCTGAAATTCCTTCCTTCCTGAAATTGAACCTCCAGAATTGATCTACATGAAAGGAATTCGCTATTGATCCTGCTGGAGAGTCTTTCGGGACTTGCTCCCGCTCGGCCCACTGCTCGGCGTTTCTCTCATCCTTTTCCTCTTAGCGGACTCGTCAGTACATTCATTTTCCTTGTTCCGTATTCGCTCACAAGCCAATTTTGTTCCTATGACGTAGAGAAGAGAAGTGGATCTGCTTTTAGCGACATACAGAATGTCGTCGTCAGATACACCGCCGAATCCCATGTCTGGTTTTCTTCTCTCTGAAGAATATAGCAAGTCGAACAGGATGACTACGCTGGCCTCCAGGCCCTTGAATCGGCGAACTGAGTCCACGACGAGGAGGATTTCCCTCTGATTGGGATCGACATCAGAGATGTGGCGTCCAGAGGAAGACCCCTTTAGCTGCATTTCAGCGTCATACAGTGAGTAAGAGTATAGGTCTTTCAGAGCCTTATTCAACTCCGATATCACACTATTGCTATGGTGAATGCTCCGAGTGAGAATGACAAATTGGTTAACATTTTTTGATAAACAGTCCCTGATGATGGCGTCGACATTTTTAACGCCCTGTTCCAGACGGGTACCATCGTCCTCTGCAGGGAGATAGGGCTTCTGGTAGACGATAGGGTACCCTATCATTTGATGTCCAACCTTCACATTCTCTCGAATTTCCTCTCGGACATGGGCGAGAAAACTTTCGCATATTAGTCTTGGATTGCGGATATTCACATGGAGTTTTCTCGAGTTTTTCAAATACCGCCTTTCCTTCTTTGTCAATTTCTGTTCAGGATACACGATTTGGTCTTGATCGAAGGTTAGGAAAAGGCATCCAGAACCATCCAATATTTTTTCTATCAGGTTCAGCCATGAGACTTCATTGTTTTCAGACACACTGTTATATCTGCAAAGATCCATGGCTTCATCCACAAATATGTAATCGTATGTGCCCAGCTCTTCTCTTATCGAGGACTTCCCTCGAGCCAAGGTGTCTCTCAGGCATTCTTTCTTGTCTTCATCCGTCCAGTCTTGGGGGGACGACCACTTCATGAAGGCATCGAAAGTCTTAACGTCGAAGCCGATACTCTCATAAGGTGTTTGCCCATTAATTTTCATTTTTTCCATCGTAGCACGCCTTATCTCGTGCTCGAGATAACACCTAAGTGGTCTGTTGAAGCATAGAACGAGCACTTTCCTGGAAGGGTCATTGACCAGCATGCTGGATGCACATTCAGTCAAGAGCCAAGTCTTGCCTGTCCCAGCCCCGCCTTCTATGGTCCTAATCCAGGGCCGGGATTCACATTCCACCCATTTCAAATGGGAGTTTAGATGGCATGGGACGAGGAGGGGCAACGTTGAAGAAATCGCATGCACCAACCAACCTAAGTTTTGCCTGTCTATGCTTGGTCGAAAGCACCAGGCTCCCATGAACCTGAAAAAGACAATGATGAATATAACATATGTATTTTAAGAGTGCACTCATTATCAGGGGGAATACGAGAAAGTAATGGGACAGTGACACACATTGACAGGAGATCCAAGTATTTCTCTTCTGGAATGAGTTCTGGAAGGGGTTCGTCGTCGTTGGAGAATATGAACTTCTTCCACCATTCTTTGAAGGAATCGGGGTTCTTACATTCATCCTTAGTGAGAACTCCTTTTTGTTTCCATTCCTGAAGCGTGACTGGGAAAAAGTTGCAGGGAAAGCAGGCATATCCGCATTGGCCGCGAATTGTCCCTTCGAATGATGAATCTGGGAAGGCTCTTTCATAAAGTCGTCGGATCCTCGCTATGCTCTCCGTTACTTGCCTCTCCGCTTCCTCCAATGCCTCTGTCAAACGTTCCGGTTTCGAAAATACCACCTGAAGAATCTTGACTCCCACCCGACGATGTACAATGATCGCGTCAAACTTCCAATCATCTTCTAGAGCCTTGACGTTGGCCACGACGAACATCGGTTGTTTTTCATCATGAGCATATTCGTAAATCCTCTTCATCATCTCCATTTCGGCTATGTCACCTTCGCTATCTTCTACGTCCTGAATGATGTTGGGGAGGACATGACACCCGTCTTTCCAATCACGGAATTCCCACTTGACAAATTTCTTCGTTTCCTCGTGGAAGGAAAATTGTTCCATTCTTTCGAACAATTCAGGCATTGAAAAGTGGTTCCTAACAACGCCTTCAGGTGTCGATTCCGCCATGATGAGTATGAAGAAATCTTGAGAAAAAAAAGTCATGATGTGAAAGAAGGCAGACAGAAAGGAAATTGATTTCGAAGAGTACTGTTAAGTTCAGCTTCTAAAATGACATAGATGAGGCTGCTTGCGCCGTAAGCTAGGATACAAAATAATTTGCCCAAATGATTGAATACGTTTACAATATGTTAATCGCCACATGCCACTGCATCCATGGACATTTTCCAATTCGTGCAGCCCTATGACACATCCTATTCTATCGCTCAAGCTATAACTCAGATATGTTCATTGGCATTCCCTTTATACTTCGCGAGACACATGGTGCTATCTGCTCCTCCACCTCTATCTTACACACAGAAAGCTCTACCATTGCGAGTTTGTTTACGCGATGGACAAAATACTCTAAAGTTGCTAGCACCGGATGTCACCAGATTGCTTTTCGATTTCGTGCCGCCCTCATTGATTGCTCTGATCCGCATGAGAAGCTGACTGCAGGAGGAATGACCAGCAACCTCAGCAATTTCAGAATGACTTCAGCAACGTTTCATGAGTCACTGCAGCTGTATTCCCGGATTGAGACAAAATGAGATGAAGCATTGCTACACTCTGGGAATTTGACAGACGCCTTACACACCGAGATGCTACATTGGCAGCCAAACTCTCATTCAAGATGCTAGTCAGATGAAGGCTGACACAACTCTGCCCAATAGTCTAATCTATCAGTCCATGTAATGAAATTAATTTCTGTGATATTGACAGACGCACAAAAAAATCAGTCCTGGTTTTTTTTCCGAGGCATTCGCCACTGCATTTCGCAACTACTTTTTCCCATTAGATACATTGGAAATGATAGAAAGAGAGAACTGTTATGTTTTTTTATTATCTAGATCAATTCCTATTCGTACTTGACGAACAAAAACATTGGTAAATATCCATGGAATGTATTTTCTCAGCGAAGATATTTAGGCTAAGAATATATTTAGTATTTATGCAGAAAGACTCAATTTGGCTCATTGAAGAAAAGAGAAAGCCGCATGGAGAGACTTTCTCGATTTGAGCAGAGTTTCAATCAATATAAATATGAAATAACGCGAAATAACATTATTTTCCCTATTCCACCTTCATTTGTTCCAAATTACTGTAGTTGGCATATTTCTTGGTTTCTGTTAAAAGGCTTTGCGTTGCTCGACGACACAGCATACAAGAATGGCAGCACCATTTTGTTGGAGCCAAATAACAAAAATATATGACCTAACCAATAGTTATGATATCACATGTATCATTTCATTATGTATTGCCGCATATGAATGGAATCTATGATTAGTCGAACTTTAAAACTTCTTTAATTTAGGGAGTTTTTTGGAACTCAAACCAATCTATATCCGCAAGTTTTTTCCTTACAACCGGTTTAGTTTTTTTTATTTCAGTAGCAAAGGGACTGACTCTATAATAAGATTGATAAGAATCCTCCGGGGTAATATTATGATGAGGTTTAACGTGCATGAGACGACGGAAATTTTTAATCAGATTTGGGACTCCGCTTCATGCGGCTGAGAAATTCCCTGAAACTGGAAACAGTAAATTTAACTTTGCTTACTTTGTAAGTAACTTTGTAGGTGATGTGGAGCGCTTACCCTGAAAGTGCGAGAAAATCCTCCTTGAGGCACGGTAAATTGTTCACGCCTTGTGTTCAGTGAGTTATTTAGCCAATACATATTGATATGAACTATCTAATCTTATCATATGCCTTAAAGTCAGGTATCTCTGACTCACCTTCTCCAGCCATAATTCAATACCAGCGAGTTTCTCGTATTTATTTACTTTTCAGCTGGGTAGGGTTTAAGTCACAGGTCTTCCTCATTCACATCGAACTCATGCACTCAGAGAAATCGGTGAATCGAGACGATATACTTCTATCAATTTTCGCATTTCGATTAATTTTTCTCAAGAGAAAAATACATCAGCTGGATTTTCGATTTATATTGATATCTCTCGCTTCCCGACCGTGCCGGGTCGCCTGAAAGGCGTTTGCAAAACCAATAATGCGTCTCTAGCCGAGTCGAGAGGGTGGTTTTGAGTTGCCTTGCATTGTCTAGACGCATGTTAACCTCCGTATTCCACTTCGTGCCAAGGAAGCCTTCCCCTCCTCCCTCCCCCCATGAACCCTCAGGGCTATGCATCGACAATCAAGGGATTCACAGGCAACCGCCTGAGTGCATTTCCCTCCGACCCGCGCGAGTAGCACGTGCCTCTCGAAGGGATTCCCATGTAACCGCTTACGTCATTCTTCGAGTCCAGTTTCATACGCTGTTTGTATTCCATTTGGTGCGTTGGTGGTGCAACACGTATCGCCAGTATGGTGAGATCCGACTGTTAACTATAGATAGTTAACAGTCCTTTAAGAATACATGGATTCCTATGGGAGAAAAAGAGCTCCTTCGCTAAAAGGCCCCGTTATCTCCCCTAAGTGAGGTTTGTGCATTTGGGCTCTAAGCTCAAAAGCCACTATATTTCCACAGTCGGTTTGTCTAACGTTAAAGAATACCAGTAGTTGTAGCCTATCATCTTAAATCAATTAGTGCACTCGCAAATTATTTTCGGATTGAATTCGTAGTACCACCACCCTCCCCCTGGGTAGAAGAAAACTGCGAAAGAAAGCTCAGACCCCAGAGGACATCCTTCATCAGATGGTTTTAAATAACCGCGCTTATCGGTGTCGCTATCTGCAATCGATGGAAGTGCTCCTTTTCGTGTGTATTGGGGATGAATGGGGTACGAACAGTGGCGTATTTTACGGGGCGGGGCGGGGCACCCATGAGACAGAGCTTGGCGCCTTCTTGGCAAGTGTTTTTTCACTTGAGTTAGACAATTCTTCCCTATATTCGGACACACGTGCTTGTGACGTTCCTCATGCATGAGTGCCGAAGTCAATTGAAACAGTGTCTGACTCAAGTGAAAAACATTAATATGATATCGCTGATATCGCTCGGATGGGGTGGGGTTGGGCACCCCCACTTTCCTGCCCTGGCCCCCTGACTCTTCAGCCAAAATACAGCCACTGGGTACGAATTCAATCTGAAAACGACGTATTTCCTGAACCCTTTGAAGGTCCGGCCTAGCACTTCATCGCCATGGATGCCCAATATTATATTTCAGTTTCATCGATGATTTTGCTTTAAACTCTGTGCCCGACACCATCATTCGTATTGAGTGTTATGGATGTTTATGTTTTATTGTTAAAATGATATGCAATTGAAGCTGCTTCGTTGAGGAAAATAGAAGTGCCCTATAGGAGGTGGGCGATCACTGAGCATCATGTGGAATGAGCACGTGCTCTACGAGTTGGCGGATGTGACGTAACCAATAACAGATATATTTGAGGAGATGTTACAAACTTCAGAGTAGCACGTGATAACCCAATGTTACACATTCTCGCTGAGATGGCTCGAGAAAGAGAGGGAAACAAATCATAGGCCCGTAATTCAAGGATTCAAGGAGAGGAGCAAGGAGGTGTTAATTAAAGCAAGATGGGTCATTTGAGGGCGTAGAGGGCCCAGAAGGATGGATCTCCTCTGGATGGAGGATCCATCCAGAAGGATGGATCCTCCTCTACAGGCCCAGAAGGCCTGTAGAGGAGGATCAGGCCCAGAAGAGAGGGGAGCGAAAAGCTTCTTAAAAAAACTGGGCTACACGTGCAAAGACTTAATTCACTTAATCACATACCAGCTTTCCTATGAACTTCATTGTGGGTCCTAAGCCAGGGCTAAACATATATGATATCTAACTTTGGATATATTGGCACTATGTAAGCCCCATGACATGCTCTTAGGTGTAGGATGGCTGGAGCTGTAGTCCCACATTATTTTAGTTCTTCCAAGGGGAGGGGGGGAATTATGACCATTAGGGGAGCTCAACTTTCAAGAGTTTCCTACCACCTGCAGAGCATCGTTATGTTTTGATATGTCTATGGTTGTTTGAATTTCAAAGGCCAGAGTGCAATTCAGAAGTTCCCATAAGTTTTACAGAATAACCCCTTAACCCATTTATATTTGTGATTAAGGCTTGGAATGAAAGTAAAATTTTGACAATTTGCTTCATTCTAAAGAAGGTCAGAAGGGAGGGAGTTGATATTTCATGGAATATCTAAAGAAGCCTTATAGACAGTTGGGGGAAAAGATGAGAAACACAATTAATGTTGCTGGTTTGCATGCAATGTAAAACTTAATCTGAAATTAGATTATTTCATGGAAAGGCCTTAGCATGTCATCATAATTGGGTCCCATGATGTCTTTTTCATTCTAGTTTGTGGGTATGGACCAAATTGAATGGTTACATTTGCCTTACTGTTCTTTGTTCTCTAAGATTGCTGGAAGACCCAATCAGATGAGGGATAGAGGAGGGATTCCACCTGTCAATGTTTTGTAGTTTTTTTATAATCAGTTGCTAAATAGAAACAACCCAGCAAACAAGGCTATGTTGGACCAGCGTTGTAACAATGTTCCAAATGTTTATTCAATGTTGATTCAACAGTTTAAAATTATGTGCTAGGAATATGTTTGCTCCCTATGAACCAGACTATCTTCCTATGAGCAATGTAAAAAGAGATGTGCAAACCTTGACTTAGACTTGTGTTATGGAAGTGAGATGAATGATGTAAGATTTTGAGTTCAGACAGTTTTCATGTTGAAGGAATGGTAGTTGACAAAGGATTTGAGCTGTTCCAGATTCCAATTTGTGATTATGTTCATCTGTGCAGGGTTGGCCAG